GATACAAACAGACTTTCGCGCAAGAACAGAAGGAGATAGTTATACAAAGATAAATTGGTAAGCATGCCATAATTTGCATGTACACACAGAGAATGGGGAGCCAAGCTTGTTTTGCTACAATTGTTTGTGTTTTTGCCTACTTTTTCATAAGATAATCTGGAACAGCTTTCCAATCTGGAAATCCTTCAGGGACTTTTACACTCGTCACTGTTGGAAGACGAAGGGCCTAGAAAGATATCAAGATTATTAACATTGTAGAAATAGTTATTTTTTTACTTTTACAATACAAATTCACAAGTCAAGTACAATTATTACAAGAAAGGAAATTGTTTCGATCTCTGTAGAAACATGCTATCGATGCGATCAAATATATAGAAAAAGGTAACTATCTCGAATAATTTTGAGTAAACATCTTAATATGTAATCATTAGCAATAGAAAATACTGAATTTTACTGATGTACATTTCATTGGGTAAAAATTAAATGAAAAATTCACCTTGTCTTTGACAAACATCTCTAAGCCCATCTTTTCAATTCCAGCCCAGAGGTGTTCAATTGTATCATTATGCCGTTTCCATGAATTTTCAATTCCCTGATAAAGGAAATAAAGTCCATAGTTACATATCGATTCTGAACTTGCTTTTCAGTGTGATACGATAATGGAAGTTAGTGCATTAATGTTCCCTTTGGAACAGCATGGGTTCATGATATATGTAGATATCTTATTGGACCAGTTCTAGGGCTTTGCTAGGAGATATTAACCCCTCTGCTATACCTTTGTACAGACAAACTATAGCTCAGACTACTGTTAATGTTCTTTTTCAGTAATTAAATAGAAGGTATACCTCTGCTGCAAGCAAAGCCAAACTTTCTCTTAATGCATAAACCAAGTTTATTGCTGCTGTGTGATGATACCTACAAACAAACAATGACACTTGAACATTGAAATACTTTTATTTTTTGGAAGATGTCATGGTTACTCAAATTCAAGGGGGGTTTTTGTGTAATTTGCTCTTTGAAATACCATTGTGAGCAGCAACAGAAAGGGCAGAGTTGCATGCACGATGTTCCATGCTGAACAAATACAAACTAGTTATGGTAATTTTGAATAGATGTAAATATTTTACCTAAAGAAGGAAAATTCATTACACAATAAAACTAATTTACTGAAGCCAATCATACATACAAAAGGCAGAGGCACATGATTGCCTTAGTTACATGTGTTTAAACCCGTCTGACATTAAAAAAAAATTTGAAGGGTAATATGGTTTTCCTTGTTAATTGTGCTTTTGTTTTCTATGCAATAAAAATAAGAGTGAAATATGAAAATATTTAACTATTGAAATATGCATAAAACAAATATTTACCTCCTTGGTCCATCATCACAGCCCCAGTAGTTTCCAAGTTCATTAATGTCCAGGTAGAAAGATGGAACTTTAGTTTTCCGGCTGTTTACTTTTGCCCTGAAAATGAAAACAAAAGAGATTGTGCATTGAATGTATGTACACTAAGAAGTACATAAAGATGTTGGGATGAGTGTTTTGGTTAATTTCCTTTACTGTTTGGGCCCTTTGTACAACACTCTTAACCCATTACACCCCAACATTAGTATAAATATTTTCCATACTGTTCTCCAAACATTTCTTAAGGTACCGACATGGAGAATTTGTTTAACAATCAAAGAGCTTCCTTAGTTAGTGATTATTTGCTTAATTCTCATGAACTTAATGTGTGATTTGGGTGTGATACTGTAAGGAGAAATAAGATCCTTGTAACTCAGGGGTCAAAGGGTGAAGGATTAGTGTGGTGGATGATGGCTACAAGGAGATGGTAAGCTTCAAGCTTTTTGTGTTGCATCTAGATAGAGTTAGGAAGGAGTAAAATAATTCTAACCTTTTCACAAAAGCTGATTTGACACAGAGGACATTCCTCTGTAGTCTAAAAGCAAGGAGGTACATGTGTACAAATGAAACTCTATCTCTTCAAATTAAAGTTACATGCTTTTTTTTTTCTCATGCTATATGAACTTACAAGTTCCTGAAAATCTGCCTCAGAGAAACTGAAAGAGTTGAAACCAAAGTACTTAAATTTTGTAGAAGAGTCTTCTCAAAAAATAGAAATACATGATCACTTACATGGCTCTAGGGCTAAATGTGATTGGTGAAATTCCTGGAGGTGCACCTAGGCACTTTTGAGAGCCTGTATAGACACAGTCCAGATCCCAGCCATCAGTGAGGAAAGGTGTTCCACCAAGAGATGCTACTGTGTCCACAATTATCAAGCAATTATGTCTATAATTGTACAGATAGGAAGATGAGTGGTCAAAAGAGAGAATTGCAAAAAGGTTATTCTGTATATTATAAACTGAAAAGTTTACTACTCAAAATAAAGAAAAAACAGACAAAGGAAAAAAACAGAATTTAAAAAATGCTGTTATTAATAATACAGTGAGCTGCAAGTACTTGTGCATAGATGAATTTTCAGAATAGAGCATGTAGTAAAAGTAAAAATAATTATTGCTTTGTTCTAAAAGAGTTTTAACATACTATTAGCTAATTTGTTTGGAATTTAAGAATTAAGTAAGATGATGGAGATCCTCTTACTTATGGCACAAATCTCCAATGCCCTCCAGTGGCTGACAGATCCCTGAAGAAGACTCACTATGGACTATAAAAAGGACAGATGGCTTGTGCTCTTTAAGACCCTTTAAAGAAGAAAAATAATATGTTTTTTAAGAAATAAATAAGTGAGCTTTTGACTTGGGAATGAAAAGCATCCTTTCATTATCAAAGCTTTCAATAGGATTTGAAGAAGGTCTCTAGTCAACTTTAAATATGGATACCACATAGATAAATGATGTAGAAATAAAGAGTAGAGCGTGTAGAATGTAAAGCGGCCATGCATCCCAAAATAATCACTAATCAATGGCTGGTACTACTTTCTTGAGAACCCTGTTAATGTGAAATAATCTATTGTAATATAAATAATAGTTATATTCACTGTTATGAGAATTGCAAAGTATTACGGATTAAACTTGCATATACTGAAATTTTAGTAATGAATAGTTATGAAATCAGGATATTTTACCTGTTCAATCTCTTCTTTAGTATAGTAGTCTCCTGGTGATTTTTCTAGAACACGCACATCACATCCTTTGGAAACAAACACTTTGTCACTTAACAAATTAGGTTTATTGAATTTGCCTGAAGCAATAGTTGTGCTTCTGAACAGTGCACATGACATCTAAAGTGAGTTTATGATGTTAATGACGATCAAGATGTGAGTATTGACATATTTCTGGTTGAAACCAGATTACTATTTTTAGAATCTGAAAAAGAAATAAAATTGATACTGTAGCCTTGACAAATGGTTGTTATTGTAACCAAACTGAATTACCATCATGTTCCCATAGAATCTATCAAGGTAAAATTGTGAAGTTCAAACAATATTCTTGATGAATTATTATTGTCATAGAAACCTGCTGACATTTACTTGTGGGAAGGGTAGGGTAAATGTTTCCTTTGCAATGTTTGCATTTTTTTTATCTATTTTTAGAACTCTGCTTCTTGTTTTATTAACTATCTGTATCTCCTTAAATGGGACAAAAGGTTTACTTAAAGACGAAAATGTGAAATTAATTGAAAATGAATTTAACTATTTAAGTCAAAAGTAAACTAAAGAACACTCTACCCACTTAGATGTATAACACAGTTGGATATATTTAAACAAAGACCAGATTACTCACATAACGTGTCACTACTAAGACCGCAGATTAGAACTCAGATTTTTCATCAGACGCCTCTGTAGCAGCATTAACAACAAGAGCGCAAAAAAAAATGATAATAATAACAATAAAAAAAAAACAAAAACAATTCTTTTGAAATTTAAACGAAGAAGGAATGCGACTGGACTTTAACCGGTGTCATACATGATTAAGATTCAGAAAAAAAAAAACTTTTTTATTTCACCTTGCCTCTCGGCGATTTCTTGTGCCCTGGCACCCCACATCCCGTTGTTGCAAACCAGAATGCGTTCTCCGCGTTCTACCAGGTTCATGATCGAAGCTTCCATTGCAGCATGTCCCGCACCAGTGATTGCCAACGTGTACTTGTTGTTTGTTTGAAATACGTACTTCAGACCAGCCTTTGTCTCATCCATAACATGATGAAAATCAGACTGTAAATGGCCAAGAAGTGACATGGCAGACGCATTATAAATTCTCATGGATGGATTCGATGGGCCTGGTCCGAAAAGAAGTTTCGTGGGAACTGACAGAGGGACGAAAAGTTGTTCTGGAGGGGGAATGTTCGGCTTCAGTTCGGTCAACTTTGTGGTAGATGTTGAGACTGCTCTCAGTTCGAGGCGGAGAGGTCCGCGAACGGCTACCCCAACAAGTCGAGAAAATTTCGCCGCGCTCATATTTTTTCCTTCCCCAGGAAATGTGTAGCCGCTCTGTAGTACGTGTGCTATGTAAATTGTAGTAGTAATACCGGTTGGATTGTTTATAAACAGAGTGACACGTGATCAAAAAGGCGACAAATGCTAGTTTGCATCATAGAAAACCAGACGAGCGAGTTTTACTTTTTCATACACGGCAGCTCGTCACGTAAATTGAAAAAAAATATTTTCATTTCCGCACCAAGCATAGATTGTTAAGATAATAATTACACAAGTAGGATTACATATACGATTTCTATGAAACTTCCCCGTTATTCAAGGGCCATGAACTTTGCCGTCGAAACTAATTTTGTGTTCTCACAAAAAAAAAAGGAATTAAAAAAACATGTTGAATGACATCACAGAAGCCGACGTGGGCGTGTTGGAGGTGTGTACTTATGCACGAATAAACTCTTCGGGTAAACAATATTTTGAATTTCTTTGTGGGGAAGCAATTGAAATTACTAGATATTAAAATCACCATTCTTTATTGGAAGAAAGTAATGTTAAAAAAGGAATAAGAAATATTTCATTTCAAAACAATTCACGATTTGTCACGCGAGTTTACAGTCATATTGGGCTCGGAGAGGCAAATATCTGTGCGCGAGCATTCAATTACGCATTTCCCGCAAATGTTGCTGCGTCACTTCCTGTGTTAAGCCTTGAACCTTTGTGATTTGGATAAGAGCCACGTTTGTTCTTATTCTAGCGAGCCTTCAAAATTCTTCATCTCTTTTTTCGCACATTTTGGCTCGGAAGAATTTTGTTTTGCGACAAACACCGGGTTCAAATCAGAATGATATGTTACAGCTTCCCATTTCATTTCAATTTTTAACATGGACCATTAGCGGTTTCTCACATTTCAAAATAACACGATAATTGCCCAAAATGGTTTAGCTCGACTTGGGTGTCTAGAGATAGTGTCAACCGTTTGCCAAGGTCTGTCTGAACAATACAATGTTTGTCATAAGGATATTTTGGAAAAAGTAAGGTGAAAAAGAAGCAGCAAACGGATCCTTGATTAATCGCCAGGAATGATAATTATCTTAAAGCCAAGAGTTACCCCGAGAGTAAAACACCAAATTTCCAGATGGCCACTTTCAAGTGAATAATTCAGAAATTTTTATCAGTTTGTTGGGTGTTGTGGCGCCTATTACAGGCTTAAGTGGAAATTTAGGCAAGCCAAACTGGAGATTTTGATAGGATAAAATGTATATTAACCTGTTTGCGTGATTGTTCAGACTGTTTCGTGATCACCTTTTTCAGCTCTTATTTTCTCAATGCCCTCCTAAATTGACAAATGACAGCAATGGCCTTAGTAATGTGAATACTATAATAAAACAATAGAGTTTATGTTCTTGAGTATGAAGAGTCCATTTTAACCCACACCAAATGGTTGTGCTGAAATGACAGTGAGTTGGGCTTAAAACATATCTATGCCCAGAAACATTAACTCTACCGTTTTAATAAAGGTTTTTGCACTACAAAGGCAGCTGCTGTCATTTTGGCTCTAATGGCACTAAGTTTTGGTATTAGCTCCCTACAAGGCACAACTTATACAACAATGCAACATTTATACAACAATATTTTAGTTCCACACAATTACTGTTAAAAGATACATTTTTTGCAAAATGGTTTTACTGACATAGCTAAAGACTATTTTAATGCTAAAATGAACAAGTAGATTATTCAATGCAGCATTTGTTCTTTTTCATGGTCTGCTTATGCAAAATACTTAATCTAATTGTGTTTTGCTACAAACAAAATTTTGTTGACATGTAGTTGCATCTATGCTGAGCTCCATGTTAATGATTGCTATTCAATATAAGTCATGTACCTGTTCATTTGTTTTGCTTCAGTTCCTTGCCATCTTAGATGTTCAATCTTTGATAACATTCACATCAAGAGTAATGCTACTATTTACACAAGATGCTGAAATTAGAATTTCTTGTCCAACTTCCACAGCTACTTCCTCTTTCAAAACAATAGCGGCTTGCCTCCAATGTGATTCAGCATAATCTCCACTATATGTTGAAAGTGAGTGTTGATTGCCAATGTGCAGAGCAAACCAGTAGGGAATGGCTTGAATCCTCCCTGACTTGGAAACTTTTACTTTTTTCTCAGAGTGAGTTTCAAGTAAAGAAAGTACCTTATTTTCCTCATCAAACTGCTCCATGAAATTTATGCTAAAAAGTTCAATATGGTTGGTGATGCTTGAGAAAGGAAGAGTTGTAAGGTCAATATCTATCTGAGTGGTTACTTGAAAATCATTCAGAAACTGACCAATCTCAAGCCCAAGTGTTCTGTCCTGGTCAAGTACACGACAATTGGCAAACAGGAAAGAAGATTCAATGCACATGCAGTAGACAGTGAATCCCATAGGAATAGTTTGAAAATTTTGTGGTCTGAGCAGACATCCCCTTGAAAAGACAATGTCTTCAATAACTTGCTGACGAATGATGCCTGATGGCTCTACAACGTCACTGACAAGTAAATTCCAAATTCTTCCCTCCTTAGCGATTTCTTCAAGTTTTTCTGAGCCTTTCTCAATAACTTTTGGCAAATCATTTCCATGTGAAATATGTTCTATCCAATCTGTGTTGTGAGGATTTAATATCAAGACGTGGTCTGCCTTCCCTCTTGCAGCAAAATGAGAAAACAAAGCAGGGCCATAAGTGATGTCAAGAACATTACATACACCATCTTTACATGGATTTTCATTGCCACTGCATAAATGCTGTTTCAGTTTCAAGGAGTTAACAGCTCCTGAGATGACTTCATCATAGAGGTTATTGAAGGGAGTGTCATTCAGGCGCCGCATGTATGATGGTGGAATGATTGCCACAACCTCTTCATGGTCACTCTTGGTTGAGGGATTCATTATTATTGCAGTTTGACTCTCCCTTTGTGATGGTACAGCACTAACTTTAGATTCAAAAACTAGTTTTGTTGAGTTAATTCCACAAAAATTGAACTTCAGACAATCTTTGGAAAGCTCTCCATGGAGAGAAAGCATGTCTCCCTTTGAAACTGCAAATTTACAAGATGAATCAGCATCATTTGCATAAATGGGGAAAACTGCCTGCTCCCAGCACAGGGAATCATCTTTGGGGCCAGTTGAAAGAGTTATATCTTCATCTAGTAGCAAATCAAACCAGACTGCAACTGCATCAGCTTGACCACAGTGGGTTGCAGTGATTTCAAACTTCAAGTCCCTGTCCTTGTTCAAGCTACTAGGATTGTTAAAATCATACTCTGTCACTTTAAAGGGGCATGTGAGAGATGTAAATCCACCTCTTAACTGGTTCAAACTCTCTGTATTGTAGGGTTCAAGCTGATCAAATGCACTGACACTCACAGATGGTATTTCTACCTTTCGTTCCATTACCTCTCCTCCTATGCTACACTTGGGAAACATTTTTAATCCACTCATTGATGGTTTACACCTTGTTTGATTTCTGATGTCATCGCACATAATTACCATGGCATAAAGAACAGCACCACCAGGAATGACCTTAGAAATGGGTTTTACATTAGAGTCTGAGTTCTCTGGTGGGTGAATTAGCAAGTTAGACCATGCATGTTCTACAGTGGTGAGAATTCCTTCTCCAAGGAGACCACAGTCAAGTGTCTCTGTCACCACCAAAGAAACCTGCTTTGGGATATCCTTACCTACTGTCATCTCAGTTGATTTTTTATGTATGGTGTGAATCAACTTTTCCATGTTATTAGCCCTCAGTACATCGTGGCCCAATTCAAACATGGTCTTGGACATTTCGCAGGCATACACCTCTTTTGATCCGCTTTGAACAGCAAACATACTTAGAATACCAGTACCACTTCCAATATCCAAGACAATGTCATGGCCTTGGCCTATTGCCTTGGAAATGGCTCGTTTGTAGGCTGAATTTCTTTTCTTGTCATTTAACATTCTAAAATGCCACCTCTCAACCAAAAGATTTGCAACATTTTCAAGATTTTCTTTCGCTCTAATGCTTGTTGGATTTACATGTAATGCCCTTCTAAAACACGAAGCAGCCTCGTCAGTGAAACCCAACTTGATCAAGTTTGCTCCTGTGTTAATGAGAACGATCTCACTTTGAGGATACAGCTTCAATGCTTCCTGAAGACAAATCATCATTTTATCCAGCTCGCCATGAGACTCGAGTATTTCTAACCAATTTCGTAAAGCGAGGACGAATTCTTCTTCTAACGTTTCTTTGAGTGACGGTTCCACATTAGCCAGAAATACTAAATGTGCCAAGGCATCGCCGTACTGTTCACGACGAAGACAGCTCTTTGCAGCATGAAAATGCTGGGAGTAAGGAGAGTTTTCTTGCATTTTCGGTAACTTTTCCAAACTCTTATAGCTAAAATGAAACAATTATCCAGAGATTCATGAGGAAAGCCACGAATTCTTAGCAGAAAAGGGCGCTTCATTGATAGCACTAAAAGCTGTCATCCTCGTCGCCATCTTCTTTATGCAGAAATCTGCTGTTTAACTGCGGGCGCTGTTATCAAAGCGAGGCTGAGCGCTAATGTTGCCATGGATATTATGTAAACTCTGAGCGATTTCAGGTTGTTTCCAGCTGGTAAACAGTGTACTATTGAACGGAGCGAACGATCATGACGGAGAATCATCCAAACCCGCTTGCTTTCATTCCTGACTATGTGGAGAGAAAAGGATCTCTCTTCTTACGGTCTGATCACATGGATTATGGCAGACCAACTCTTGTGTCCAACTGGTAAGTCGCTTACGAGCAAACGGCACTTGTCGCGTGCAGTCCGTTTCTTGATTATAACCAAACTATATGTAAACACTACTTTTGTTGTCACAAAAGGAAGGGGGAACCTATAATTCTTTTTACTTGATTTAAGGCCTATTAAATACTACATATGATTGAAAAAAGATCTGCATTTTCAATTGGTAACATGCTCCGTGGCAGGGAAGAGTGCGCGAGTTCCGATGCTGGTTTCGTGTGCATGTCGAAGTGAACGATGCATGTTTTGTTTGGAGAAAACTCTTTATGGGGGATTGTTCTATCTGTTATACATTGGCAAATTGCTTCAGCTCGAAATATTGAAAATATATCCATTTTTTTCATCACGATTTGTCAATTATTAGTTAAGTTGTACATAGCTACTTGTTATTCATTGTGACCTTTGCACCCGAAAGCTTAAAAGAGTAAGCCTCCATTGATTTTAAAGTCACTGGTTGACCCCCAGAAATGATCTATACTTTCTATCCCAACCTTTCCAACATTTCGCGGTACTCTAGGACTTTCCTTGTCGCGAGTTTCAAATATTTAAGTCCGAGCATGTTTATACACTGTACTTACTATCTGAACAAAAATTTACAGCCGGCTTCAACTTTTACTGGTATTAATCAACTTTCCTAAACTTAACAGGCATCAAGCAAGGGAAGCTGAGCCCAAAGAATATGACATCAAAGATTACCAGCCCGAAAAGAGGAACCTTCACAACTCCACATACCATCGCATTGGAAATGTCACAGATGGGGTGAGAACACTCGATTGGTTTATCAACATCTTTGCATACAAGATTCATGAGGTTTTGCAATCCCTTATTTTCATTTTTTCATGCCCCTCATTATCAAATTTGTACCTTTTAACATTTCTCTCTCTTTTCCTGTCCTTCCTGAGTCTTGCTTTCCTCACCTGCAACTCATAACCCTTCTCCTCCCATTCTGTTGGGCTAGGCTACTCCCCTTCCCCCAACCCATGCCTCACCCCTTTTTTGATTTGCTAAGACTCTCTTTAATCTAAACTGTAAACATCTATGTTTTCTATATCTTTAAAATGGTAAGGTTGTAAATTTTCACTCATTAAGGAACTAATAAGAGACTTTCTGGACCAAAGCTGTTACAAGGCCTGACAACATGATCTAACTTGGAATTTAATTGAAAACTTGTAAAGCCTGCAGGGATTTGCTTTATGGTGTGTATTTTGATCTAAGAATAACATCAATGTACTTTTAAAATACTATTTCTCTCCCACAGTCTTTACCTGATACAACCAGTCATGACCAAATGGAACAAGCAGTGAAGCTTAAAAGTGACTTTGAAACAAGAGAAACAAGACGGCAGATGGTAGACATGAACACTTTTAAAAGCGTTAATTTCCAAAGGTGTGTAATCATCTAATTTAAAAATACATATTTATAAAAACGGTTTTCTTCGTTACTCAGCTGTCATCATTCAATATTTAAGACTAAGGGATGACCTAAATGTACTTTGCAAACCAGTAATCCTTTTTTTTCTGGTGCGTTGGCACACATCAGTTTTGCCTGTCAGGTAATAATATTGGTATATGACAGTATATGCTCATGCATATAAATTACAAATTAAATTATAGACTATTGGCAGATCACTACATATCCAAGAAATTATACAGGCAAATTTAAGTTATCTAGAACTGATCTTATACAAGTGTAATTGTGTGGGTCTCAAAGTGCTTTTTGCAGACATGATGTTCATAAAATGTGAAAGGATCATACAATTATAGTTGTTTATATTTACTAACAAAAATTTTACCTTTTTGCAAATGATTTTATAGAAACAGAATCAAAGGGTATTAAGTTGTGAGGTTTAGAGGTTATTAATCCCTTCCATCAGATCCATGATGTAGGAATATTCAGTGAGTTGGAGTACTTATATATCTGGGATAAAAGTGTATTTAAGTAAGTTGGTTGTATTTTTACTTCTGATAGAGATACTGGGGCACCTGAGAGAGGATTTGGTAGTGTACTTCCAAGACATCCACTTGACCATGGAAAGAGGTAAATTGTTGTTTCTTAAATTCCACCTCTCCACCATGCCCCCTTGCAGCAAATTATGAAGCTTTGCCTAATTAGTGTCAAAGTATAAAAATTGGTAAAAAATTCCCCCATAAAATTAAGCTCAAAACTGGTATATTTTGATGACTTCTCTTTCTTCGTTAATGCTTTCCTGATCTTTTGAAAACCATGCTCAACATAAAGAACATAACAGTACCCGGTTTCAGACCAAATGGTTGAAAAACCCCACCTTGTGCAACGGCATAGCAGGTCCAAGGAGAGTACCCCCACTACTATTTCCCTCCCCTTCCACCCACTGAATAAAAATGTTGCGATGTAACGTTTCACTCATACACTGAGTCAATCAAGAAAACATAATGCGATTCAAATACTTCCATTTTATTTTTGATACCAATGCGCCGAAAAAGCTCATGCATGACTATGTTTAACTCTTCGCAGGTACCTTGACACCACATATAGAGTGGATTACGACTCCCCGTACCCATATCAAACACAAAAGGTGACATACTTCACTAGATGTGATAAACATGATGTGTTCGAGATGCATGCATGTTACATTATAACACCCAAGTATTTTGCGTGTAATAACGTTCGCGCTGATTAGTGCACATCGTGTTAACTCTTTCCAGTTTCGCTCTTTCTTCGTTTACGCCGTCGTCAGCAGCGACCTAAAGAACATGAGCGTCACAGAAAGCACTCAGTGGGTTCAAAATCTGTGTTCATGACATGATAATTTTTATTTCGTTTATTCTATTTTGTGATTGTCGAGTTACGTTTGCTCTCGTTGCAATTCTCAAACGCGTATTAAACCACGCGTCATAACGACAAATTCGAGTACGCACGAGGCGAAATCGAGGTAAAGCCGAAGGTGCACAGTGATAAATGAATTTTGCGCGCTTTCTAGGTCGTCTTTGAAGTCTTTCTTTTGGAGAGGGAAATATCTAAATTGAAATAATCCTTTAGAGTACGTAATGGTTTCTTTTTTTGCGTGTCATATGGAATGTCCGCCTCCAAGTTAAATCGTTTAAGACTGCACACACTTTAATACCACGAAAAAGTGATGATTTTACAGGAATTGCTTTATCACTACAGTTTCCCATAATCATTGAGGAATTCAACGAAGCCTTTGTTTATTTATTTATTTATTAAACTATTGATTCATTTTTGTGACGAACCAAGTGGAAACACGAGCAAAAGTAATCGAAAAAATACGGAAGCAGTTTTCGAGTTCCAGCGCCAAAAAACAACAACCAAAAAAGAGAAAAACATTTTAAAAGGTTTTTCTCCTGAAATGATTTCATTTACAGCAAGAGTTGAAAACTCCTGCTGTTGTGAAATCGATTCAAGAGAACTAAACAGAAACACTCAAAAAACTAATTCCAGGTAAAAATCATCAGTGATCAACACTTGTGATAATTTCTCTCTCGCGTTTGGTCTTTCAATATCTCCTGGTTCCTCACCAGACTCCTCCTCCAGAGCCCGATCAGTCTGCACTTTGGCGGAAGTGCCACTCCCAGTTTACCGACGTGGACGACTACAGACGACACGGAACAAACACTTGGCACGATGAGTCAGGAATTTACGCTAACACAGCTGTACGAGAGCATGTTTTACAACCCACAAATCCCATTCCAGAACGACTTGGCTAATGTGTATGAAGTTACTTAGGAGATGTTTTAGACTTTTTTTAATCATGATAAGCAAAGATTTTAATTAACAATTTTTCTTTTTAAAATTCACGTCTTCCCCTTTTCTCATTGAATTGATAAACTGAAAATAAAGTGCATATTGAGACCAAATTCATTTGAATTTTTAGATTACTGTATTCGTTGTTCGGTCGATATAAATAATGGCAGTGGTAAGGGTTTATATAGAAAGATCCTTCGCTGCAATTCTGATTTGGGTCGACTGATCATTCAAAGAGCCTCCTCCTTGGAAAGAGAGAAAAAAAAATGGTACAATTTTCTGGCGCTCTGCCAGCCTACGCCCCGCCTTGTTTCAAGAAAAAGAAGAACTTGAGTCCTTAGATAAAACGAGTGTTAAAAAATTTGAAACAAGAAGCAATTATTTCCAAAAATTTTTGACTGTTTACATTTTCCTGCTTCTATTTTGTCTTTTTCTTGATAATGAACCACATTGAGTTACGTAACGTTTGCCACCAAGGCATTATGTTCCGTTTCCTCTCAGTCATCCTAGAAATAATCTGTTTTCAGAAAAGAAGGTTGAAGTTTTTCTTATATTCGGCGGTAAGGTTGTTGGCCAGGTCAGTCATTACCTCCAAGGAGTTTGTTAGAGATTGCAATTCACTGCTGATCGGGTGCCCGTCGCTTTTATCATCCAAGGAGTGACCTGTTTCAGAATTGAAGACATAAGGAAATGTTGCTGTTAATCGTGGTCTTGTAGCCAGGTAAATGAACGTTTAATCGATTAATTAATTGTCGCACGTGCACGATATAAAGTCTTGATCAGGCTATCAATTAATGCAAGATGATTGATGGCGACAGGGGACGAGATCGAGATCAGCTAAGACCCTATCGATTAATTGGTTAAATACCACATACAAGCAAATTCATATTCATTTCACAATGTAAAGTATTCCAATTGAATCATCTTTTTTTCTGATTTGTTGGAAAATGGAGGGTGGGGATACGTAAAATGAAAGTCATAATTTTTCCTCTGAATTGAAGACACTAAGCCTTACCAGAAACCTACACTATATGCATTTCCTTGGTTTAAAACTTACGGTTATAAAATCAATGAATATAAGGTTCAGCTGTAGCCTACCTGTTAGGACAACGTTCTTCACATTTTTCAGCGCATTGAATGCTTCATAAAGGCTTTTCTCTAAAGCGATTCCATTGCCTGATGGAACAGGATTACTGCCACTTTTTGACAGTGCCATGTCATGTAAACTTTGAGGAACTAAAATGGATTTCTCCATTTCCTCGACAGCATTCACAAACTGAAAGAATGAACAAGAAAATACTAGAAAATACTACAAATTAACAATAGAATTACTTCCGTTTTTCTTAGTATGCCTCTCCTGCACCCCGTTGCCTCACCTCGAAATCGTTGTTGCTGTTTTCATTTTTCTCTTTTGCTGTACATTTCGTTCCTGAAATATGTCATATAGTTTAGGTCCGCTAAAAACGAGGGGAAATCATTTACTGCTATATCTGGTCATAAGGTTGATTTTGCAAGTACATGGTCTGTGTAATCAGTTTTTCAACATTACGTGATGAAGGCGTGCTTCTTGAGGCAAAGGTGACCTGATCCTAAAGGAACATGAAAAGTGTTATTGCTACTTTCGGAAAAGTCCTCTCAATCACCACTCATCGTGATCAAACATTCCGGCCTGTTCCATGGTACGGTCAACTTACAATTGATCATGCCCTGACAAACAAACATAGATAGTGCGAGGAAAAATGGAGCTTTCAATAAGTCAGAAGCGGCCTGACATTCATACCATAGGTTCAAAATGTAGGGAAACTCTCGAACGATGACCATATTTCTTAATAAAGGAACTTTTGGTGAGTGAGTTCCTACTACTGGCTCTTACAATTCCCTTATAACTAAGAATACTACGAAACTTCAGAAACTGGCCACGCAATTCATGTGGATGCAGCAGAGACCATGGACAGTTCAACTGATTATCACAATGCAACATCGTACCTGTGAGAGAGTATTCATAACGCCTTTGGGATTCATAGCAAAATTTTTATGAAATACGGCGGCCCAACGAGGGAGTGAATGAATTTAAATACCTGTGCAGCAGTCTGAAGAGGTTCATGTCCCAGATATAGAAGAACATTAACGTTATATACTGTTCAATCTGTCAAAAATGCCACTTGGAGTGTGACAGAAAACATTCACTCATTGCATGATCACTGCCGGTTAATACCCAGTTCTGCACCTATAGCTGGCGATTATATGAAATTGCAACTAAACGGGAAAGGAATCACTTTAACTTCGCCTACGAGAATAAACAATTCCATGGGCGACACGAAAAATATATTTTCCTTCCGTGCAAATTTCCTACGGGCAAAATTACTTGAATGAGAGTTGCTTTTAATGGTCCATTGTTACCGGATGTTTACGAGTATTACGAGTATCATGACTCAATCCTACCAGTGGGCAAGGTGGTCTCATGTACCCCTGTGGACAAAATTACCTAGACGTGTGCCGCTCTTTAAAGCTTTTTGTTTATTGAAGTCATTGATGTCGTGGGTTGGGGAGACATGCGAATGCAATTTAAGTACGCAAGGCTCTAAGCTAGTTTGTCGACTTGGAACCTTTGCGGCTTTTTGTGAACATCGTCGAAAATAAGGGTTATCTTGCGGTGAAAACTCTCGCATCACAATCTCGAAAAGCGGCAGATATAGGGAAAAATAGAGGACTCGGTGGATTAGTAATCGGAGATACTTGTTTCGTTCGATCAACCGTGTTTTAATGGGCCTGGCGCTGTCGGTCCCGCCGTTTGCTAAACATTTTTTTTTGCACTGTAGTTGAAGATACATTAAGTTTCTATAGCCTTCGCTGCGAGAAGAAACAGTTCCATTATCGACAGGATCGAGACACGCGAAAATATGGTCAATTTTTTCTAAAAGCATTTCGTGCAAAATCTCCAGCAGGCAGCCTTAATGAAGTTTTGTTTTTTAACGATAGTCTTTTCTTTACTACGCCATACAAAATGCAGCCAGTCAGAATACAGAAACACCGATGTATCTTCCAACCTTCCCATCGTTGTCTGCTACCTTTTGACCGTTTACATTTTGAAACTAGTGTCATTTCCGGTTTGTTCTCGGCGTTCAACCTTGACAACTTAAAAATTTGCTAAGCACTCTGTTTTCTTTTTATGTGATGAATATTCAGTTTTAGTGTTTTTAGTGTTTTAAACAGGATACAGTAAGGGGCTAGTTCAGAATTAAATCTACGCGTATGCCTTATTGATGGTATTGGCATTTGTTTTATTTCATCTTTTTGTGGAGTGGTATAAAACAGTTTTGAAATACTTTTTCGAGGCACACTTCGGAATGTCCCTCTAGTCATTTAGAGGGGGTCATAATAGTCATAATACACACTCGACTGAAATCTTCTGGGTACACCAAAGATGCCCAAGTAACTCGAAGGATATTCCATGGTTTACCTAATCCAAAGCGTTTTGTGACTAGTAGGCGTTGAGATGTCTGTCAAGACATACAATGAGTATCCAACTTCGAATAACGTGACTTTTTCCTACACATAGTTGGAGGTGGTAAGGGGGGGGAGGGGGTGCTTCTCTTCCCTTCCCTCTCCCCTTGCACAACTGCTACCCCCTACACCCCTAAGGGCCTGATAATAAGGAATTATCGAACTTACCTTTCCCTAGCTAGTGAATAGTCTACCAAAAAAAGCAAACTTAGCTGCCAGATGTTGGTTTTGTCTGTAATTTTTTTTTGTCTGTAATTTTTTTTTGTCTGTAATTTTTTTTTGTCTGTAATGACCTGCAGGATAATTTTGAGCCATTGTCAAGAACTATGACCTGTTTCTGTCTTCACATTTGATGCACGTCAATGGCACGTGTCTGAACAATTTTTGGAAAACATCTCGCATCAATTCTCTCTTCAAGCACTAAGTGCGTTCTCAAGACGAAAAAATGAATGCTCCTTCTCAGTAAAAAGATCAAATCGTAATTGCGAAAAGCGACAATTACACAATGGTGTTTTTTGTAAAAGGTTGACTGATTGCATCATGAATTAAGGAGGTTCGCCTTCATTGATCAGCCGTGACTGGTACCTACTCACAGTGTTCTATGACAAGTTTCAATTACATTTCATTGACAAAGTGTAAAAGACAGCTGACTATTCAATTAGCTTTTTTTTTACAGTTTCCACAGAAAGAGGCAACACTGGGTGTGCCTCTCAGCAACTTGTGCTGAATTCAGCCATTTTTTTCCTGTTCATAAATCCCTCTTGTTCATAGAGCTTGTATACAACCTGCGTGACTTTAAGGGTGAGTTCTTTTCATAATTATGCGGCACGTCCTCTTTGAGTCTAACTGTCTGCGGCGCGACATGCCAAATATAAACTCGAATGAAACAGTTTATGGATTACTACCAGCATCGTCTGCAATAGCCTAGACAGAGAAGGGCAAATACTGTACACTGTGATTGTCTGGCCGAGAATTCCCTCCCCTTCAGATCAGTCTCAATGGTCAGATGGCAAAAATGGCTTTCTCCCGAAGGTCTCCAGTGACAATAATGTTGAAAGTAAACCTTGAGCCGTATTCTTGATCAAAGCAAAATTTTTTTGTCTATTCTTCCTCAATCCCTGTAGTGGAATCCATTCCAGCATTTCTTTTATTTGTCTACAAGTCTTCAGATAGCCCTGCCATACATCTGACTTTTAACTGACCGAGGATTCAACACCAAACAATGCATCAATGCCATCGGGAAAAGACAGTTTCTCAAATGTCTCGTACCGGAGAAATAAGTGTTCAGCTAATTGCGTCGGATCTGTAATTGGAACCTGGAAATACCAGAAACACTTCCTTTAGAATTCATAGCCAATATAAAAAAATTCACTTAAATGGAGGTGTCAGTAACTGTTTCCATAAGCAGCTGGGCTGCCAATGTTGTAATAGGCAGCTGTGCCCAGAAAAGGAGCCAAAAAGCCAAACCCAAGCACATGAGCCTTCTCGCAAGCTAAAAAGACGGTGGGTAAGAGGTCTCACAGGCAGGTGGTAGACCATCTGTAATCCACTTTTATTGAAATACCTTGCTGAGGTGTATGGCGAGATTGGAGCATAGGAAAAGTATGCTATGTGAATGGGGAGGGATGGGTAAATTCTGCATAGCGGCTGGAACTTAAGCCTGGTTCTGTTGCTAAAAGCAACCAGGAGGACTGTTACTCCACCTAGATGAAAAGTTAGCTCAACGTGTGCAACTCAAAAATATTTTCAAGGCTCCCCATTCTCTTGTTGCCATTTATTCTCCATTTCTTAACCAAGAAAACAACACAGTGAACCCAATCTTTCCTTTCGTGGTTTTTATAACAAGAGGCAACAGCCATGGTGGGAAAACAGTCTATTGCAAGTAATCTCCTAGCATATTGATAGCTTTCCATTACAGTTTGCTGTTGAGCATTTTCACTTCTAGGTGGAGAGATTCCAGTCTAGGCTGGAACCTGTCTACATTAAAATTTGTTGAGGAAAATTCAAGTACCATAAAGAGGACCAACCTTTAATTCTAAGAGGTCTGCTACTTTTCTTTCTTTGGATGAATATTCCCTTAACATGTATGAAGTGCCAGCCTGTAATTGGACCATAAATTAGAAGATGGATAACAAAAGACAGTCAATAAACTGCTGCATAAAGAAAAGAACAAATGTCTTTTGGGTAATTCTGTTTGGACCCTGCAGTAAAACCAACCCAAGTGTTCTTGGCCATAACACATGTCAGACTGCCAAAAAGACTTCAAATTTTTTAGGACCAGTTTCTTTAAAAAGGTTTACAGTGGTAAATCTCATTTTAATTAAAAAGTACTATGTACCTTGTGATGAATTCTTGTATCATTGATCCTAACAAGAACTCCATCTACTCTCAAAAAAAATCTCAGCAACAGAAAGAAACCTCCCTGCATAACACGCTGAAAGTAAAAAATGCATGAAATGAATAAGATGTCTTTGCATGCCCATGGCTGTATAATCACATAATATGAATTTCTCTCTCAACCAGAGAGAGAGAGTTTTAAATCTATAGGACAAAACTTAAGCACAAGTTACAGCTCAAGCCAGAAAGAATTGGCCTGTATACAGGACACACATTTCTCCACCCACTGGAAGATTTGAGGTTTTTTTGTGAGGTTCTTTCAAAATTCTTTGATATGTTTTTTTTCTGTAAAATAAATCCTTTGTTGAACAAGCTCGTTTAGAAAAATAGGTGGGTATTGAGTTGATCTTCATTTGCCAGGACACTGACAACCTTGGGCTGCAAAAATGCAAAAAGAAAAAAAAGCTTTGCACACATTCAATCATATTGACCTTACAATTGGTTACATAAACATTCATAACTGCATCTGTTTTCTCTTACCATTTTGACATTCAACTTTGCTATGCCGTTATCTGCTAATTCATCTTCATACAATATAATGTCTTCATAGAAATATATCTTTTCTTTAACTTTCAGCTGTTCTAGATCTATTCTCTCTTTGGTGGGCTCAACCTGGAATAAGTGAGGAGAACACAACATAAGATTTTTACTTGTCTAACTCTTTAACCCCTAAGAACATTAAGCATCTAACTTCTCCCAACAGTGGCACCCCTGAATCAAAAATCAAGTTGTGAGAATAACGGAAATGATCACTAACTCTTGAAAGAAGTTCTTGATTGTTAAACAAATTCTCCTTGTCAGTACCTTGGGAAATGTATAGAGAACAGTTAAGAGACTATGCATGCTGATGTTATAGTGCTAAGGGTTGAACAAGTAAAGCAATATTTGTCAATAATGGCACATGATATGGAAGAATAAAATGATATCATTATATTTCAAAAATGAATGAATCAATGATTGACAGATATACTCTACAGGCTGAATTTCATGCTATACTAAATTAAATATGACTCAAAACTATTAACTAAAGTGAATTATTCAGTTGCTGAGTCAAAGACCTTACAATGCATAAATTTCTCTTACTTATCTTTAAAACCACACCTGAAATACAATCTCTTCTTTTCCAGTCAGTGTACCCTTGTAATCTGTTGTGAATGTCCAGTCAAAAGGTTTTATAACCTCTTTGATATATTCTGAATCCTGCCTACGAGGTTCAGGTGAAA